AATTCAAAATTGATGGTTGAAAATGAAAGAAAAAATTCAATTTTAATAGATATGACAACTCAAGATGAATATAAGAATGACACTTTTGAACAAATCCTGACAAGATCATTATGTGATATTGTTCAGGACTATACTTGCTCTTATTGCTCTATAAAACGGAAGATAGACAAAAAAGATAATGTATCTAATCTTACTAAAAGAAAGTTTGAAAATGGAAACATTTACATAAATGATGATGATGTTATTGATACGGAATCATTAACAAGAAATGATCTTATTAAATCAAATCTTGTCAAAATAAACAAATTTGTAAAATACCCAGAGACACTTATATTATCTTTAAACAGATTCAAATGCAACTATAATGGACAGTTTATAAGAGTCAATAATATTTATTGTGATTTCCCCAAATTTTTAAATTTCAATGGAAACAATTATCGATTAAACAACCTTGTGAAACATTCAGGAGGAGTGAGAACTGGAGGTCATTACCAAGTATACAAAAAGAAACCTTTACTTATTAAAAACAAGTATAAAAACAAAAAAACAAATAAATTAGAACTTATTAATTTTGAATTGAAAAATAAACTTGTTGATATTGAAACAAATTTAAATAGTAATGATTTAAGTGAATTAAAACTTGTATCTTCTAAAGAATATGATCCATTTAATAAAAATGTTAATGATTATTGGTTAGTTAATGATGATAAATGTAAAGAAGTTTCTTTGTTATATGATATCAATCCATATGACTCCAATAATATAACATCTTTAATATATGAAATGATTAATTGATGATGATATATATATATATATATATAAATGTCGCCTTTGAAATATTTTATACTCATCTCAAAAAAAATATATATATAAATAAATAAATTCCAGAACTCCGTAATGAAAAAAAAAAAAAAAAAAAACAGTTTGACTAACTGAAAAATAATAATAATCAAATAATAAAAAATTTTGTTTATTTTTTAATTTTTTTTTTTTTTGCCTGTTTTGAATATCCATTTTCCCTCATTTCGATCAAAAAAAAGAAAGAAAGAAAAATGAAATTCAAAGAAGAAAAAACAAAACATTCATTTTAACTTTTCAATGTCTAATAAGAATAAAAGAAGAAAAAAACACCTAACAGTTTATATAATTACAAAAAAAAATAAATAAAAAACAATAATAATAATAAACAAATAGATATATTCTATTAAACCAAACAAAAACAAAAAACAAATTGAGAAATAAATACATATTTGTTAGAAAACATTATTTGTAATCCTAAAAGAGTTTATTATCACTAATTTAATTTTAATATATTAATTGTTGTTATTTTTTAGAATTTTTTTTTTAAAAAAATTTCCATTGCTATAATATTAATTAATCATTACATCTTTTCATTATTAAGAATTGAAAATTTTATTTAATTTTTCTTCTTCTTTTTTTTCTTTTTCGTTAATTTTATAAACCTCTTTCTTTAAAAAAAAACATAATGTTGAAATCTTTTAAATCTGGTCATTCCAGCAAGAATAAAAAAATAACTATTGGAGATATCTCTAAACCAACAAGTAACATTCCAGAGACACAACTGAAAAATTTGAACACAATCTCTATCCAAAAAGCCCAGACTCTACAGCAAAGACAATCTGATCAAAATTTAGAATCATTTGGACACAGAGATTATTCAAGAATATCATCCACAACCTCAACAACTGATGTCAACAGTGGTAATTTTAGTAATACCAACATTTCAGGACTAAGAAAATCTTCTGAAACTGGTTCTGTCAAGAAATCCTTTGTAAACAGAGTAACTTCAGGTGTATCTATGCAAAGTTCTCATTCAACAACAAGCAGTAACAATGGTCGTGGTAGCCATTTATATGGTATCGCATTATATGATTTTCAAGCTGAAAGAAATGATGAGTTAGATTGTAAAGCTGGAGAAAATTTGATCATTTTTGCCCATCATGACTGCGAGTGGTTTATTGCAAAGACTATTGACAGAATAGGTGGTCCTGGCCTTGTTCCATGTAGTTTTGTCATGGTTATAGATTTAGAGACAGGTTTCTCAAGCAATAATAGTTTAGAGAAAGATATTGAATTGAGTGGATTGCCAACAGTTGTTGAATGGAAAAGCAGTCTTCAACAACAAAAGAACAAGAATATTGACTTGAAAAATGACACCAAAGTGAATAGTTTCAATAAAAGTGCTGCTAAAAACACCAGTTCCTTTGTTAGTAGCAACGATGTTCGCAGTAGTAGTGGTTTCTTGCGTGAACCTGTACAAAGAATAAACTCCTCGATTAAAAGCGAGGCTCATTCATCCACTCCCAGCAAACCACAACAACAACCAAACTCTGTTTATAAGGGAAGTGTTAATAACAGCTCTTATAGTGTAAATTCATCATCCATTAAAAGTAATATCCGAGAAAAAAATAATAGTAACATTAATATTAGTAATAATACTAGCAATAATAGTTGTAGTTTTGATGAACAGGATGTTGATTTTATTCTTGAATCTAAAGTCACAGAATATATTTGGGAAGACCAGAAATACAAATTTATTGTCAAATGTTTAACTTCTTTTTCTAAAGATAGAGTTTTAAAAAGATCTTATGAAGATTTCTACAACTTACAAATAGATATCCTAGAATCCTTCCCTCAAGAAAGTGGTAAGGTCATTATGCCAGATGGTAACATGAGTCAAAGAATTGTCCCATACATCCCAGGTCCTGTACCATATGTCACTGAAGATATTACTAAAAAAAGATTAATTGATTTAAACACTTATGTCAATGAATTGATCAACTTGCCAAATAATATTTCAAGAAGCAGTAAAGTTTTAAGATTATTTGAAATTGATAATAATGGTTTTGATAAAGAACAAGAACATAAAAATCATTTGAGAAGTATCAGTCAAAATGATTTCCCAGAAGCTTCTCAAGAATTACCACAAGGACAAAAAGAAATAAATGTTTTCAAAAATGATAACAAACAATTCCAAAATTCAGAACAAATTTCTGCTGACAAGTTCAATAGTAATATTTTCCAATCTCTTGACAATAGTCCAGCTGCCAATAATATCACTGAAAGTAATCACGGTACAATCGGTGCAAATGATGAGAATACCTTGAAGTTGCAAGGTTTAAAAATCTCAGAGATCCAAGAAGAACTTTCTAATACTAACAATAATAATAATAATACCCAAGATGCACTTGGTACAATGGGTGTTCAATCCACTAGCAATATTAATACTGTTCCAGCTCAAGATACATTTAAAAACAGTAGTGACAATCAAACAGTAGGTGTATCTCCATCTAAATTTCCTTCAAAACTAACAATAAACACACAAGTTGGTGATGGTATGGATAAATCCCAAAGCAACAACACAATAACAGACTTAGTAAATACCCCAATGACAGCTACTCCAGGTGCAGGCAAATCTATCAAAATTAAATTTTACTATGATGATGATATCTTTGCCCTGCTACTAAACAGTAATATAACATTGACAGAACTTAATACCAAGATTTTGAAGAAAATTGGTATTAGTTCATATAAGCTGTTTAATAAAGTTGGTACTGCTTTAAGAAATGAAATAAAATCAGATGGTGATTTACAACAAGCTATTGCTTTAAAACAGAAAATAGCCATCGTTGAGTAATTGAATTAATAAAAGATATATATATATATATATATACATGAATGTTTTTATGTTTCCTTTCTGTTTTTTTTTTTTAATTCGAATATTTTCATTATCAATAAAATTATATAAATATATGTATTTAAATAACTCAAGATCACATCTCCATTTCCACATCTGGTTCTCCTAGATAGTAATACTTTTTTGGTGATTCGTAACAATCATTATAATAATATTCCCAGATGGGGAGTCCTTGAACAATTCCTTTTGTCAATTTCCAATACAAAATATTTTTAATCTTTGTGTATAATGATCGGAATCTGTTTACATACATAAAGTAAACAAAGATAGCCCAATTTATAAAAATAGCAACTTGCCAGTTCCCCATGAATTGAGATATGAAGTAATCATTTTTCATTTCCTGTAATAATTTATCGTCATTCAATGTTTCTGTATTGGTTATATCTGTTATAGTTATATTTAAAGTTTGTGAAGGTTTTTTAATGTTCAATTTTTTTGTATTTGGTGAAATGTTTAATCTATTGAAATCATCTATCAATCTTTGTTTTTTATAATCATTAGCTATTGAATCTTCTGAGTCATATTCCAAATGCCTCTTTTTTTTAAACCCTGTGTAGTTTTGGCTAATGTTTCCATTTTTTATAAAATTTGTTGAGATATTATTCATATTAATACCATTGTTAAATACAGGTGTACTGTTATATGTGGGGAGTTGTTGGTTCAGATTGCTAGTATTATTATACAAGTTGAAGTTATTCATTCTCTAGTAAAACATATATATATATATATTACAAATTTAAGGGAGCTTTTTTTTTTTTAATTAAAGCTTTGTTGATGCTATTGATATAAAATAATCTGGTATTTATTAATATATTCTCTTTTATAGAATGGTTATGACAAGCAATCACTATATACTTTTCTAGTTTTAGTATATTTCTTTTTAACAATAAATCTTTATATATAGTTTTTATGTGTATTTTAATATTTTATATATATTTAACTAAAAAAAACAAAACAAAAAAAAGGAATTTTCTAGAAACACGAAAGAAATTTCTACATTTTTTTTACTGTACGGCTGAACATTAAAAGCAAATTTTAAACTGAAATATTTCTACCCAATTAATAATTTTTCTATAAAAATGATAAAAAATATAAATTAAATTATGCATATATATATATATATATAACATATAAACAAGATAATGACTATAATTAACACTTGTTTTTTTTATCTATATTAATAAATACTTTTGTTTTTTAACAACAAAATAATTCACTTTTTAATCACATGATGTGTACCCAACAATAAAAGAAACAATATATATTTCAAAATTCGAACTCGTCCTTGTTAGCTCAGTCGGTAGAGCGTTCGACTTTTAAACTTTATTAAAAGCCACAAAGGAATCGAAATGTCAGGGGTTCGAGCCCCCTATGAGGAGTTCTGTTTTTTTTTTTTTTTACTTCTGCTTTATGTCCTGTTGTTTTAAATTTCTAAAGGTAAAGAAACTGTTTCTTAAATTTTTGATTTTATCAACAGTTTATAAGCTTTTAAAATATTAAATTAAGTTTCTATGTAATTAGCATTGATCATTTTTTTTGTATTATATTTGAGTTTTTTATTTTTTTTTTATGGAGTATTTGTGTGTAATTTTTTTTTTTTTTTTTTGACACCAATTGTAATTTCCAAAAAAAAAAAAAAAAAAAACTCTATAAAAAATAATTAATCTAATTTTAGATGAGATAATATATTACAAACAAAATATAATTGGAAACCAATATTAAAACCCCATTAGTTTAAATATATTGTGTTTTTTTTTTGTTTTGATCAGTATTGGCAAATGAATTTCAAAGATTTAACAGAATTGCCTGTTTTAATATCAGATTATTTAACAGAAAATGCTGATTTGAACAAAAGCATTGATTATAAAGATCTTGAAGAAATTCAACTTCCGTTATCAAGAGGGAAAAGCGGGAAAGGTTTTCGAAAGCTACTGTTGCTAAGTCTATGTGATTATCTAGGAATTGAAATAAAAGCTGATGATACAAGACTTATTATTATTTCTAAATTTATTGATCTTCTACACAATTCTAGTCTTTTAATTGATGACATTGAAGATAGTTCAAAGACAAGAAGAAATGAACCGTGTGCATACATTCAATATGGTGTTGCTTTGACTCTTAATTGTGGAACTTTTGGAATTTTCAAAGGAGTTGATGAGCTTATCACTTGTATGGATTCTGACAGTATTGAAGGTTTAACCACAGAAATGAAATATGAAATTTTAAAAATCATTAATGAAGAAATTATGCATCTTCATATAGGACAAGGTTTGGAAATTTACTGGAGAGATATCAGTTTAAATATTCCAGAGATGGAAAGTTATATAAAAATGATAAGAATGAAGACAAGTGGTATGTTGAGAATTATGGCAAGATTGTTTTTAAAGTTTTTCAATATTCCAAATGAAAAAGAGCAAGGCATTATAAAATTAATGGATTATATCGGAATTGTTTATCAAATTAGAGATGACTATTTGAACCTTTCATCAAAAGAGGCCACGGATATTTTGGAAGGAAAATTTTCTTTTCCAATATTATTAGGTATTAATAAAGAACTCGAAGAAACAAATAAAAGTCAAATATATGATATTGTGACAAAGAAATATAAATTTGAAACAGATATTGAGCTTGTATTAGATGTTTTAGAGAAACAACAAAGTTTAAAGAACAATGAAATTTTGGTTAATAATCTTGTGAGTTTTATTATTTCTCATTTTCAACTTAAAAAAGATACACCAATTAATTATTTGTTATCAAAATTAGAAATTAATAATGATACAAAATAAATTGCAATAAAAATAAAAAAGAAATTGTAAAAGTTTTATAAAATTGTAAAAGATTGGAAAAAGAAGAAGAAAGAAAAAAAAAGTAAAGAAATACCTTCCATTTATATATGTATGTATATATATCATATCTCTATTAGAAGATTTTTTTTTTTATTATTATTAATTTTTTTGTTAAAACAAATTTCTCCTTTACTTATTTTGTTTCTATATACATTAATATATTGTAAAATTTTGTTTTTTTTTTTTATAAAACTAATGTTTCATAGAAATTCTATTTTTTGGACTACCTGGACTCTTTTTGTTTTTAACAGTTAAAATTTCAACACCATCATTAGTAATCAATAAAGTATGTTCAAATTGAGCACTAACTTTACCATCTTTAGTGGAAGAAGTCCAATCATCAGGCCATGTGATACATTGATAAGAACCAGCATTAATCATTGGTTCAATGGTGAAAACCATACCTGGTTTCATAATACCAGCAGCTCTATTTCTAGCATAATGAGGAACTTGAGGAGCACAATGGAAATATTTACCAACACCATGACCACAGTAGTCTCTTACAACTGAACAGCTATTTTCAGTAGCATGTTGTTCTATAATATCACCTAAACTACAGAAAGTTTCACCTGGTTTACAATGTTTAATAGCTTGTTTCAAACATTCTCTAGCAGTTTCAACAGTGTTGATAACTTCACCAGCAATGTTTTCACCAACATAGTAAGTTTCATTTAAATCAGCATGGAAACCATCAATATAGACAGAAACATCGATATTTACAATATCACCATCTTTTAAAACAGTTTTATCTGGAACACCATGACAAATAATTTCATTGACAGAAGTACAAACAGATTTGGGGAAATTGTAGTAGTTTAATGGAGATGGGTAACAGTTTCTCTTGATAGTCTCTTCATGAACGATGGCATCAATTTCATCAGTAGTGATTCCTGGTTTGACAGCAGCACCTGCAATATCAAGAATTTCTCTACCATAAGTACAAGCTTTTCTGATCTTCTTAATTTCTTGTTTAGTGTAAACAGGAATTGAGTTTAATCTGTCATTGTTTTGTTCTTCTGGAGCATCACCATCAGCCGCCCATTCAGTCTTAACAATACTTTCAGGAATTTCTCTCTTCGGAGTTAAAGGGTAAGCAGCTCTTAATTTACCAGGGTATGCAAATTTTTCAAAAGGATCGTAAGGAACATTTTCACCTTTCTTTTCATCCCAATGTAAAGCTTTATGTTGTTTATAACTCATTTCAAAACAAGTTTGATCACAAAAGACAGAAGTGATATTTTGTTTTAAACATATAGGACATTTCAATTGACTATCAGTCTTTTTACCACATTGTAAATTGGCACAATAAGTTGGAGAAGCAGTGGTTTCAGACATTGTGTATAATAAATATTAATTTTTAAAAAAATATATATATATATATAAATACTATTATGTATGGTTTTTTAATAATGTTGTTTTAATTTATATTTTAAGAAATATTGAAAAATTATCAGAATTAATATTTAAAGAAATTTTTTTTTTTTCCTTCTTCGATGCTTTTGTTTAAAAAGTTTACTTTTTTTTTTTTCAGACAAATATTCATACAGTCACTTATAATATATATTCCACTCTCTTCGTTTTATATCCGCAAGGCTCATTTCAAAATTAAAAAAAAAAAAAAGCAACTTTATAAAACTTAAAGAATATATATATATATACTTCTTATCTAATGATTAAGTATATAGTGTCTATAACTCATCACTACTAATCTTTATAAATTTATAAATCATCTGGACCAAAGGATAATGGTAGCAACTCTTCTAGGGTTTTTACAATATAATCTTTATTTAATTGGTATTCCTTAATATAATCAAAATTCAAAGACTTCTTTTCATCAGTAGTTCTAGCTCTAGACATAACAATTTGTAAATCCTTTGGAATAACAAACTCTCTCATAAATTGTCTACATATACCACATGGAGATATAAATGCTTCTGGATTCTCACCACCAACAACTGCAATTTGGGTGAAATTAGTTTTATATCCTTCACTAACGGCTTTGACAAAAGCTGTTCTTTCAGCACAAATAGCACCACCATATGAAGCATTTTCTACATTACAACCATTAATATAGTTAACTATATTGTTGGATTCATTTTTTATTAATATTGAAGCACCAACATGAAACTTGGAATATGGTGCGTAAGCTTTATCTTGAGCAATATATGCGTTTTTAATTAATTCAATTAACTCTTCATTCATTTTTTCTTTTTCTTGTTTTATATTGTTTATGTTTTTCTGGATTTTCTTTTATCTTCTGCTCTTATTTCTTATTACTATATTATTTCAATATTTATGCAATCACTTTATATAAAGATTATTTGAAATTTTTTTTGAGATTAATGTGTTTTTTTTTTTTTTTGCTTTAATAATTTTTTATTATAATTCCGTCGGATATCTTATTTTGTACAAATAATCATTGCTTAAATTTTTTATAATATTTAAACCAAGAATAAATTATAATAATGATAATAGAAAGATTAATTTGTTATTAGAAATGTAAATTTCTTATATGAATAGACACATCAATTTTAATAATAATAAAAATTAATTGAGACTTTTCAGCTCTAAAAAAAAAAAAGGGTATTGATTTTATATGAATAAATATATATTGAATAATTGTTAGCTAATATTCAGTTTTTTTAATTTTTGTTGGTTTTTTTTTTGTTATATTATTGTTAACCTTTTTAATAGTTACTTTGCTTGTTTATGTTTTTTTGTTTTTTTTTAACTTTTCTTAATCATTGTTACCAACAGGTATACCAAGAGAACAACAAAAAAATAATCCAAAGAATATAAATTTCTTTCTAAAACTAATTCTTGTTTTATAACTTTGACTTTTTTTATCAAAATAGATTTTTTTGAAATAAGTATCTGTTCTATCTTTAACCATTTTTTCTTTAGCAGTCTTGTGATGCTTTATAGCAAAATAAGAGAAAAAGTTTTCAATTGAAGTTTTTGACATTTTTTTTTAAAAAAAAAGATATAATAGTTTTAAGTTAATTAGGTTTAATAATAAAATATTAGAGTGTGTTGTTGGTTTTTATAAACTTTTATTCTTCCATGTTTTTAATTGCTTTCTCAAATTTAACTTCTTATATATAATTAAAAAGTGAAATTAATAAAAAAAAATTTTTTTAATAATTTAAATAAAATTATATACAATCACAGTATGCAGAACTTTTTTATAGAAAAAAAAAACTTAATTTTTTTATTAATTTTTTTTTTTTTTAAATTGCAGATAATTAATAAAAAATATATATATATATATATTTGATTAAAGCAAATTTTATATCCGATATGTTAATCATGTGACAATTTTTTACAGTGCCCAATTAGGGAATAAAGAAATAAACAAAAAAACATAAATTAAATTATATTTTTATAAAAACATCATTTTAAAAAAATTTTATATTGGAAAAAACAATATCAAACAAAAAAAAAAATAAACAATAAAC